CTCAATGTTCGAAAAAAAAATACGAAGAAAAAAAGAATTGTACAATTTAAAAGCCACAAAGCGTTCCAATTGAATCCTGGTAAATTAAAATGTTAGCAAACATTCGAAAAGTGAAGAGCTAAGCGTGGTATTGTAATTGTTCGGTTTATAAGCGGTTTTCCTCTTCGGTTCATTGGAATAGGGCGAGAAATGTATAATGATTTAGGTGCCAGGTTTCTTTACGATACTTTTTATGTTCTCAGAAAACTGAATCGGAGAAACTCAGGTGATATTTGTTTTAAAAACGTGAACACGAGTTCAGTAGATAGCATTGCCAGCAGGGAATTCCATGGGACATACATTTCTAAACTTGAATTTAGTTCATTTATTTTTAGTATCTGTTGTCAGAATAACTGTATTTTTAGAACAAACGTCCATTACATGTGTTGCATGTCAATGTTTGCGGCTATTTCCATGCATACTTGAGATGCTAAGAGAAACAAAACAGATGCTGGTTATAATTATCATAACGAAAGTGTTCTTTGTAAATTAGGTTTATGTACTTTCATATTTTTTTAATTAAAAGTATACTTAGTCTGCAAGGTTTCACGCTATTATCTTTACAATTAGGAGTCTGATTTCTACATGCATAAGCTTGAATATAATGACCGACAGAGGTCGTTCGTAGTAAAAAGACAGATGACCTTGGCATATTTATTTAATTCACGCGTTTGTTTTGTATTGTATGAAAAGAATCTAGAATTTCACACTACTAAATCTTCCACTATCTGATTCAACTGTGAACTATGCGTAATTTACAAACCTGAATCCTAAAAACTGACTAAACTAAATCGGCTACTACTAATTTATCATTATCACTGATTCAAAATATTTTTTTCACTAGGAATTTCTTCGTGGGTGCATTTACAAATAGGAATCTTAGACGAACAGACAGGACTTAGAAAAACTATCAATTAGTTGAGTGCAAATATTTGTTTCTGAGAAATAAACATCATCAGAACAGCTGCTACTTACCTACTATGCTAAATATTTTAGTGTGACTACACAGCGAGGCTTAGAACTTATCAAACACTTTATAAAATACCTAGTTACATATGGAAAGAGGTTCAGTGCATCATGATCTAGATATAGAAAATTGCTGCTACTACAGCATTCAATATTAAAAATAACTATACAATACAATAAATATATAGCTACAAAACTAACTAAGTATAACCGCACTCGTAGTGAACAGAGGACCATGACTAGTCTACTAAGGAACATTTCATGACTTATGAGAAAATTTTATTGTGGTAATATAATAATGTTAAGTTAATTGCCAAAAGAGCAGCCTTACCGACTTTTTAGATTTCAATATTGGCGATTGAGACCCGCTTAACTATTTATTCATGAATAACTGTATAAGAGTGTGTGTACTCTTATGACATGAAACTTTGAGCCATGTCGGTCGCGTTGTCCTAGTTTTTAACTCAATACAGGCATAACCATTAGATAACGCGACATGCAATCCAACGCTTACTGATCGTTTTCCTTTTCTTTACCCTCGATTTTAAATAAGGAAAACTATTAAATGACCTCTCTCGCCTAGAGTGAGAGGAGAGGGAGTGTCAGACTCTTTCTGACCAAAATGAAAACGGTTCCTAGTGAACACTTCTTGAACACGCAAACAACTTATCGGTCTTCTAGAATTCTAGCATAAACCCAAAGTAACCCAGACTTTTCACTTGAAAGAGAATGAAATCAAAAACATTGTCAGCGGTTACTATTAACCACACTAATTGGCGGTAGTGTGAAGAGAGCGTGACAGCTAGTCGAAAGTCTCACTCTAACTATGGGGTTCCGACTACTGATTATACGTTGACTGATATTGGCAGAATTATAGTGTTTTGTTAAGCTATAGAAAATATACTCTCCAGAGGAATCCAGAGAAAAAAAAATTCAGTATATCCTAGGTATAGTTCTTTTAAAGGCTTGGTGTATTCTCACCATTTCGCATCCGAAGGTCGACATAAAATTGTTTAAAATAATGATGTCTTTATATTTCAATGCCAAGGCAATACAATACATAATAACCCTCAAGTCAATTTATTATTATAAAAAGCGGAAATCAGCATCGGAACAATAGATATCGATTACTTATTGCATATAATCGTATCGATACAAAAAATAACAATGATTTCATGCCGCTATTACGTTTTTGCACGTAACTAAAGTTCAAGGGAAATCTTCATGTTAAATGATATATTAGATTCAAAACAACGGAAGCAATTGTGGATTTAGGCCAACAGTTGTACCAAACATTTGTCCAAATATTTGTACCGACGACGTAATATATTGCGCTTGCGCAAAGTGGGACGTTACGGACAATGAAGTGTCCGAGATCCAGAATCTAGTATTTTCACTGAATTACATCTATAGATGGAGAGTAAATGGAACAGAAACAATATTCCGGGAACGTTAATATTAATGAAGTGGTCGTCCGAACGTTGTCAACAAATGGGTCAACGAGTCCTGACCTGGAGTGACACCAGCGTCAACCACCATGCTTTCATGGAAAAGATTAATTGGAAGAAGATACAAAGGCAATTGACACGTCATTAACTGTGTCCTATTTTCAGTAAAATCAAATTTTTGAGTAAATAAACAACACGAAACTTCACTTTCTAATGTAATTTAACACCAATATTTGACCATACAAACGTCAAGAGTGTTAATTTGTTAAAAAAACACAATGAGAAACCGGCTACTGAGACGTGATTTGTAAAGAGTAACGAGACTTCGCGTAGAGACAAAAGGTAAACAAACTCGGTGAATAAGCTCATTTATTTCGTACGAGAAAACTATAAACTAGACAGTTTAACTAATAGTTACTATTTAACATGTAATTGGAGCAGACTTTTTAGCCTGCTTCCTTTACATACAAACATGTTTTTTGTATGAGAAACGTCTGAAACCATGACAAATTATGTATGTTTCCCAACTTTATTAGGTACTTTGAGTATATAATATTATAAACACCCTGCTAGTATTGGCGGCCATTTTAAATCTGTCTAAGATCTTTGTAAAGATGTAAATAATAAATTTTGAAGAGGTGAAATTACAGAACCCAGACTTAAATACTTCAAAGAACATCAAAATCGTTATAACCAACCAATATGACCAAGTCTCTAGGGTTTTTGCCACATTTTTACAATATCGAAAACACAAAGAAAACATTCCATTCGCATGCCGGACGGTAAGACGGGACAGACGAGACGAGAACTGATTATTTTTTCTTCTGAAAGAGAATTGTCAATACATTTGGCGAGCTGCCGCCTGACTGTTTGCACCTACAAAACGGACTGAAGTAGGTCAATACATTATTTATAACGGACAGTGTTGCAGCAACTGTTGCGACACTGTTAATAATAAGAACTTTGTTGTTGTAACATGTTACATGTTACGCTGCGCTTCAAAGTTTTTGGGGAACGAATGTGTGTGTTTGAAGTTATTGAGATTGCTTTGTTGTTTTCTGAGTTTGCATTGCACTGGTGTGGAGTTGTGGACATTGTTTCCCGGATGATTAATTGAGTTTTTTGGGGCGATATTCTATTAACTACTTCGTTAATCAAAAATATAAACTAAACTATAAAATTGATAATAGAATAAAGATATTCCTGAAGGTTATTAAAAAAAGTAGCAAATACGTCTAAGGTATAAGGACAAAAAAAAACTATGAACAAGCTAAAAAAATTGAGGTTATGCAGCGACATTATCGCTAAAGAAACACTAGATGCAATTGAAACGAAAATTGCACAAGTAAAAATGATTCCTTTTTCAAAGTACGCAATAAATATCATTTTAAAGCCAGAACATAATATGCAACTATATCTTGAGCTGAAATAATAACCTACTCAACTTTGTTCTGGCATCCAACCTGTTGTTGAGAGCTAAAGCTATCTTTTTAAAAAGAAAATCTAGAATGAAAAGCATGTGCATTTTAACGTAGCTAACAGATAATTGTTAGTGTAGGTATGTATAAGTCCGAAACAATTTGTTTAAAAACAAAGACTACGTCACTGGAAAAGGATTAATGATGATTCAAACACATAATTCGGTTGGATACAACTGTAAACAAAGTCAATACACTCATGAAGAGATGAAAAACCTAGCTATTGCGCAACTAGCACCATATTGGATGTATTCCAACGGAACAAAGACCGGGTTTATTACACGTAAATCATTCTTTGTGAAGAACTAATTGCTATGGATGCATCCTCACTCCGTTTTTAGATCATACATGCTCATAAAATGTGTGTTTACAATACCGAATATTATGGAATACCACGAAGGCTCTGTTTAATACGTAATCCGGAGTTAGTCCGTAGTTTTAAAGTGAGATTAAAAACATGAATTCAGGCCGAGGTTGCTGTGTCCGATTTGCCATGCGAATGTATTGGCTGGATCGATTTAATTGACGCATGACGTATCTACGCAGATCTCGATTCGCGATTGTCTGCCAGTGAAAGTCAAAGATTTTAAATTCATAACAAAAAATAGTTTCGAAATAATTACTGTTGATTTTCCTTTAAGAATATAATAACCAAATTGTGGTAGAAAGTTGGAACAATCAAAGATAATTTGTTTTCGATCTTTTATCAGAACTGGCTGGCTGGAGCACAATTGGAAATTCTTTTTGTAAGCAAAGTTAGCCTTTACTGAGGATTTTTGATATTTCTCCTCAAACAATATAAAAATACCCCAATTTTTAATAGATATTTCATCATGATAACCACGAGATATGCACAAATACTCTTAGATAAAGAGACATCTATTAATGTTAATTAGAAAACTTAATTTAATTGAAATATTTATCGCCGTAGTCCGCAAGCGAGAAAAGTTTTTTATTACTTATTGTGACTATCACTTTTTTTTTTTTTTTGTGAGGGGAAAATCATCAAATGACTTCTCCCGCCCAGGGCCGGGCAGGAGGGAGTGTCAGACTCTTACTGACTAAAAACCCCCCTGTTCCTTCTCCTGCTCTGTGCCGAGGTCGCGGTACCTCATTGCGCTTACCCCGCAACCCCGGCTGAACATCAGCCCTTTAGGGCCCCGTCTGTGGTGGTCAAATGGCTCTTTGAGGCGCGCGCGGAACGCTACGCGCCGTACGCTCGGGCCTGGTTCTGGTCGGGCGGCGAGCTGCCCTTACTCGCCGACCGCAGGCCCGTGCTTACGGTGGCCGGAGATCGTCCCTCGATTGTGACTATCACTGGGGTCGTATTATTGTAGATCCAAGGATAATGAACATTTTTATAATCTAGTTCTTTAACATTTCTATTTCCTAGTTGGATAAAAGAAAAATAATCAATAACAATACTAGTTGAATACAATAGTAGGGTCTAGAGGGGTACACACTACTTCGCAGCTGGTATAAGTCCTATTGTAGGGAAGGGAATAAAATGGTACGATACCAACAAGTAATACTCCTATTACAATACCTTATTCCCAACAATAATGAAATATGCATAACGTCAGAGACCTGTGCAGTTTGAGTGCAACACTTAACTATTTACGGCCAACGGTTTACAGTTCTGTTCATGCTAAGGTTTGAGATGTAAATCGCGATCTCTGACGTCAATGCGCAGGAGTGCGGCAACTAAAACTGAACCACATAATGGCCGGTGGCCGGCCGATATTCTCGTAAAGGAGGTTGTAAAACTGAACAAGCAAAAAGGTCGCATATTTTATCCCCGTTACAAGTTTTATGATCAAACTTTGGCCTTAGCCCTCATTTTTCTATAGTCTGGATGTTCTTTATGAAAGAAGTATACGACCAGTACTATGCATGATAGTGTTAAAAGTTTTCTATTCCTCTAAAATTACCAGCAAACTTATATTTTACTTATATATTACAGATTAATATATTCTATTATGCAAATACAAGCTACAATACGCTATTTAAAAATATTCTACGAATAAATCTGACAAATTCTTTTCAACAATTTTTCCCAAACGAGGAAAGTACAAACTCTGAGACGTTTCGAATATATTTTCCCGGTCAAATTCAACGTAAAACGTGTGTATATAAATTAATGTAGATACTAAAAAAAATTTACTTACTGACAATCATTTTAGTTTTGCATAACTATTTTGTCAATTTTTATTCAAACTTTTATTACGTAACTGATATGGAATCAAAAGTTATTCTTACGAAAAATGACTTATTAAAATAAATTAAAATAGCTTTAACGAGTACCTGTTGTCCTTTGATGTTTATCGTATTGCTGTAATTTTAAGTCAAGCATTTTGGTGTCCAGTTCTTAGAAAATCCGCGCACTGTACTCACACATCGTATTTCTCAAGCGAAACGCACAAGTAAATTGATAGTCGCTTTCCAAGATCTGAAACATCTCGGAAGATGAAAAATATATCCTGCTTCGTTTATTTTTTTATGTACAAAAGGCTTGTATGAGCTTTGTGCCATGAAGCACTATGGAAAACGGTTCATTTGTGGATACAATACAAAACATAAAATAAACACAATTCACTTTATTTGAACGCCAAAAAGTTCAAAGGATTCGAATTTAGAACATAAATTGTATTACGTTTAAAGTGAGTTTTCACTAAACAAAATAAAGCAATGACGTTGGCGGTATGTAACCAGCCAGCACTCGGGTGGCGCTTGGTCCAAAAGTTACGAAATTGAAATGTGTAAAAATTTCAAATTAATTTTTAACTAGATTTATTTGTTTACGTTCTGCTAACGTTTCTCAAATTAGTTTCGAATTCATATTTACAATACTTAATTGGTTGCGGCGTATTATATTTCAATCGGAGAATTTTAGAAGCTGTGTTCTTCCTTATTATCTGATCGCACGTCTCAAGTAGAGTTCATTACGGAAGCTCGTAAAGTGCAAACAACTTTTGAGCTATTAGGAAAGTTAATGTAGCCTTTGCAACGTCCACGTTTAACTTTAGAACATGACGGTATTTTAAGAAAAAATGACTAGAAAAAATTAGGATGCACCCTTCCCTAGCAGAAGACAGTTTTAGGCGGGCTTCCCCGAACTATATTACTTGCACCTTAAAATACGAAGGCGTGACTACACGTTAAGTGGAAGAGGCTAACGAAGCGTCTTCCTGAAACCCGCCCTCTTTCCCACTCCCGTACTATAAATATGACGCTGAAACGTTTTCGCTTCAGTCGTTCAGGAAAGCTCGAGGTGTGCACTGTGCCAAATCACAGCATTCCCTAGTGACAACGTGATACGGGACGCGTCACACGACAACAAATATCTAATATTAATCAGTTCTTCATTGTTTTATAAAGACTTTACTCATTATCCAAGTGACATTTTCGGATTGTTCAGTGAAAGCTTTGAAAGTGGTTAAGATGTTGGACAAAACCATCCTCGGTGGTAGTTGGGAAAGCGTGGTAAGTTTTCAACGATTAATTTAAACTTTAATTAGGTTACAAAGAGTATTTTTTTAATAATTCACACGATATCTGTAATGAAAGAAACGAGTCTCCGGATTACGGAACAGAGCTTAAGCAGCGGTAGTCAGCGGGGACTATTACGCAAAGTGCATGGCCACTTTAATGCGCTTAAAAGGCAACTGACTTGTCTATGGTCGCTGTCATTGAACTGTGGCGCGTGCGTGTCCGCTGTTTGAATATGGAATTACGTTCTTTCTGTGGTAAAGCTCTTGACATTGCCGCCTTCGTACAATCTCATGGCTACTAATATTTAAAGCCGACATTATATTAATCAATGCCCAAAATCGATCTAATCAAAGCGTTTGAGATTAATTGTAAAGATTACTTCCATCAAAAGATTTTGTACGGTTCAGAAAAGGTTATCAGGACTTTGAAAGTGACTATGACGAACTTTTAGTACTTATTAATTTTTTTTTACTTTAAAAACTTTAATAATGGTTTAAATATAAACAAGGTAAATAGCCGGTTGCAATAATTAGAATGCAACGGAGACCCTGCGTCGCTAATGGGCAGTTCCCGCAGTCCACAAAACGGGAAACGAAGCGCCCGACAAAAAACAATTGCTCTTTGTCTATGCAAAGCTCTCATGCCACCGCTGCTTTAGAAATAAAGCTGTCATTTTGAAGCCATAAAACAAATTGTTATTTCGATATATGAGATAGCGAGTGAATTATTAAATTGGGAAGCGGAGAGCTGTCATCGTGATCAATAATAACGGAGATTAGAAAGTGATAGCTCGTCAAACAAACAATGACCTGTCAAAATTGTTGTCAAAAGTTTTTCGGGTCGGATTGTCGATAGTTGCCGATATTCATAATTCGATGACCGGTCTTAGCGAATTTCGTCAAGATACTTTCACCATATCCGAACTGGATGGTCTGCTTAGACATTTTCGTGTTGTTGTAACAATCTAATAGCTGTCATTCGTCGCCCGCCATTCCGGTTTACGGTTTCGAAAGTCGAGAGCTGCACCGATCCCCGATAATGACAAATGACAATTTTAAAACGAGACGCATTGAAAAATGTGCTGGATATATCAACGCCATTAAACACCAGTAATGCGAAGTCGGTCATGTAAAAAATATGGCTATTTGTCAGCTTTTAGTTGTGAAATTATTTGTTTATATTTCATAAAATATGAAATACATAATTAATTACGAAATATTCGTCTGTGTCATCACAATCCCGCCTCCTATTTGCTACTTGAAAATATTGTAATTAATCAATATTTACATGTTTTCCTATTGAAATACTTGATCCGCTTACGTTTTTATTTAATTTATGAAAAATAACTATGACTCGTTAAGATTATCTAGGCTTTGAACTCTTGATAACTGTAACTTTGAGTCAACAAACTGGGGTCATTAATACTAAAGAAATTTGATGGTGCAATACATATTAAAAAAGTTATTACTCATCGGAAAATCATAGTGACGAAAAAATGCGCGTGGGCAAGGTACAGTTAGTCATGGTAACGTCACACTCTAATAATATGTGTCGCATCAATTAAATATTTTATAGTTTCTTAATCCATTGAAAAACTATAAGATTTAAAAAAAGATTATTTTACTACTTATGCTAAAATCTCCATTTATTTTAAATACTAGTAAACAAATAAAAAAAAAACTAAATAGGAATCCAAATTTAAAATCTGCGGAGCGCACTTAAAAGTTCAGATGTAATTGTGTGCTAAAGATCACGTATGTAACTGGTTGCTAAGAATAGCGGCCTATACTTGAACTGCCCTCAAAATAGACACCGCTTGCTAAATGTCGATTATGAATAGAAGAACTACCAGATTTCGCGGAGTCGATCGCGTAAATTACACATGCTGTATGTTTACGTTTCGCAAACTTATGTTAAATATATCTTGCGAATACTAACACTGTGTAAACATTGAAAAAAATAAATTCGAGATTTATACCGTGCAAACGGGCCGCAGACAGGCCGAATTCACTTTCTTAGTCTATGGCAGTTCTTTTATCAATGAGGGCAACACTAAAAATAGAGTGCAGACTCAGTAAATCGATTTAAAGTTTTCGGTATCGATAACGGTGAGGCTAAGTAGTGTATCGAAGGAAATTATTAAGCTGAAGATTAAGTGGAGCCAAAACATTACATCGCATAAATTCAAGATGAGGATATAAAAGTACGTAGCTGTAAATTGAAAAAAAAAATACGAATGTGTGCCGATTTTTTGTACGATGTTTGCACATACGAGTAACGGTACCGACAAAAAATGAGTAAGAAATAAAATTAAGCTGTATTATCTTGTATACAGAGTCTGGTTTGCATTAAACGTGATGACGAAGGTATTAATCACAGTATCGTACTGATTTCTAATCTTGTTTTTCAATCAGAATACATGGTTTGAGCAATTAATTAACTTAACTAAGTTATTAAATCATTAAAGTCACTTTGTAAAGTTTTGCTAAGCTTGCATAATAATTTGAATATGGATTGGTTATTGATTTAATATTGATAACTGCTTACTTTCTAAATTATTCATTTCTATAGTAAGTGTAATTTAATGTACCTGAAATGTCTTCGGTAATTTGTTAAATCGGGACCGTTAATCGTGAAGATAACTGAAGGCCATTACTTCCGTAGACCTCAATTTATCATAAATGCAATAACAAACGTAATCGTACGTAATAAACACGTTGCAGCCGTACAATAATAGACATTACATTGAACATTCTGATGCGTTCTCTAAAATAACCTGTGACAAAATTAACAGTGCCTTTTAGTAACGTTATCACCTTCACGACTATAATAAGTTCCACAAATAACACGGAGTATGCACGTCAGGACAGAAATACTATACACATTTTAACGCGATATTACAAAACGGGTGCACAAAATGGGACACTCGAGGCCCACGAAAGAGTAGCGTGGATACGTCACAAGCACTCACCGACCGGCGATGCGTGTCTCCGTGATGGACAGTAAAAAATTACCTGAAAATGAAAACGTACAAGGTTAAACAAAATGAACCACGAAAACAAGAGGTTGTAGCCTAGATACGCGAAGCTTAATTTACAGTTTTAATTAGACCGTGTTAACTAACCCTGATAATAGGACAACTATTTAAAAATGACCCATTTCACGTTGCGACCTAAATTCGCAACAGTGCAGTATTTTTTTACACTAACCCATTAAAAAAAATGTTACTCAACACGAGCTGTCAAAACACAAAGTAGCGAGTATTTGTCGTGTCAGTACCGATGGACACTGAAACATGAAATTTCTTTTGCTTGTTACAGTTTAATAAAGAAAAATAAAGTCCACTTGATAATAGAGTTGGATACAACAAAAATAACAATTTAAGTGGGATTATGTTTGTTGTAGGTGCAATGCTGACAATTAATAATGAATGCCCTAGATTTTTACCAAAACGTTTAGAAAGTTATATCATCTGACATAACGATGTGGCACTTTCGTTGTAAGTCATTAATATTACTTACAAAATAATAAATTTTCAAAGTCACTTTTCTAGTATAGTGCAGTCAGATCCATAGCATTCCAACGCTTGGTTTACACCATGTTCTAATGAAGTCTATTAATATACCGTCTATTTCTGAGTGAACCATTATTTGACCAGCTCATCTACGTCATACACTGAGATTCCAAGAAAACCATAAAAATATTACATAATAATAAGATTAAATTAAACCTCGTGTAACAAACGGCGGGAATATAACCTCAAGAGAGTTGTGCAAGCCAGCCGTTAACGTGAAAGCTTTTAATACTTCAAACGACACATTAGCAAAGCGTTTCCCGAAGGACATCTTTATAAACATATTTTTTTATCGTCCGACCTTTTCCGACCTCAGTTAATATTTCGAGTGATGTCAGAGCACTAAAAGCGTATTTCATTACAATTGGAATCGAGAGGAATGACCTTAACTCAATAAACAATTGTAAATATTACACTTTTATTGCGCTTCCTAGACAGTTCACGGTTGCAGTTTAAAAATTGGTATATCGGACATTGCCAAGTTCCTGTGGATTGAGACATATGGCGCTCACGACAGGTGGCGTCAGCCATGTGGGCACCGCGAAGGGCTCTGATGACGAACGAACTGAAGACCCTATTAATAATAGAAAGGGACGCCGCTACACGCTTGCGTTACGTTCGAATAGTCACGTAGTTGTATTGATACTTGAAATAATCCGTTAGACACTGGCGACCGCGACTTGTTTATGGGACAGCCGGGAGATTAACATTGACAGTATTGTTTGTGTAAGCTATGGGTACTGATTGCTGATTTATTTCATTCCAGGTGTCGAGAGACGACTACGAGATTGACTACACCCCGAGCCCGAGAGGGTCTCCTTTGAAGGACACGTCCAACATTCAAGATGAACCTGGCTACTGCATCAGCCGCCACAACCCCAACAAGACCTTCCGTCGTGAGTCTGTCATCGCCTCATGGAAGAGTCTGAAGAAGGAGAGGGAACTGGCTTTGGGAAAGCGGTTCATCTATGTAGACGCTGACAGTTACCAGGATTATTATGGCAGAAACAAGGTCAAGCGTTGCAAGAGTGACAGGGCGCCTACCACTCCTAGGGTGCCGAAGAAAGTCAAGCGCACATACTCTGTTCTGTACAGGTATGATCCATCTGAAGAGAAAGTAGTGAAGGAGTACAAGTATCAGCTTCCTAAGGAAGATGAGCCTATAAGCCACCCGGTCATGCAAAAATCCTACTCCGAACCATTCTTGAGGTCGGAGAATGTACCAAAGAAGAAGGTCAAGAGGTCTTTCACAACTCTATTGAACATCAAGACAAAGTTCTTGAACATTTTCACCTCGAAGAGTTAAATTGTTGTAGGGATTTAACTTGGTTTAATTGCTCAATTTAATGCATTTGATATGATTGGCGTATTACTTCGCGTACAAGGCCGTAACCGCCATGATTCTAGTCGAAATTTTGCCTATCAGGTTCAATGCCGGAACCATCTATTTTGATATTGTCTGGTAAAATTGTAAACTAAATTGTTATGGAATAGATCAATCAACGTTTTTGTTGCTATTCCACGGAATCTGGCAAAGATTGGATATTTGATCAGATCGTAATTTGTAAGCTTTATTAAAAGATTTATTTTTGAAGTGCCAATAGTATTCATAAAATACTAAGTCTAGTATATAATTTGTGATATTTTTTGTGTGTTGTGATATTTTTATATTTTTAAAGTATCGTTGTGGTATGGTCTTCTTACTGCAATTGATGCTTGATAGCGTTAGCTGTAATATTACTCAGTAATCAGAAAGAATGTTGTAAATTGCATGTAATTCTTTATATTAGGCTCTAATATATTGTTATTACCCGTTTTAAAAGAGTTAAAATATCATCAACACATTTATTATATTTTTCATAAATATAAATTAAATGGTGATTATAAGATAATGTAACTGCTTTATGAGTGTAATTCTTTATATTCAGCAATAAATATAAATGTAATTACATGTTACTGTCATCTTTTAAGAAAATCGCTTTGTATAATAATTATTTCATATTAATATGCAAAAGTGATTGTAATCTTACAGTTACAAGTTTAAAAGTTACAATGTAATTCATTATATTTTAATGTAATTTTAAATATAAATGCAGTTCATTAAAGTGACTTTATAAATTATTTCACTAATAAAATAACAATTCATTATATTTAATAACATAAATATAAATGAAATTGTAATTTTAAGATTACAAAACTTATATTTTAATATAAAAATAATCTAATACACATTTAATCAATGGTTTCATTCCTATCGTGTAAGAAGCTTTACGTAGTTATTTATAAGTATTTAATTCGTAAGTTATTTTAATATAATAATAGGACTTTGTCTTATTGTTAAAATTATAAACATATCATTAAATTAGGAAGCGCGATATTGTAAAAATAAGAATTGTGAAAGTATTATTATTAATTTAGAATTAATAATTAACTATCAATTTATATTATGATCTAATAAATATTTTGTATGATGCATTTATAGATATTTTATTTATTTTACACTTATAATGTACTTACAGAATATGTTAATATTGTAAACAATAGTTTATGCAATACCCGCTTATAACATTATATATTGTGATCGTATTATTTGAAGGCCTGGTCTGATTATGCTGATATCGTGTTAAAATATGCGGGAGGGTCAATTGTGGAGCTAAATGTTACCAAAATCATTGACACTGGGGTAAAAAAGACAATGAATGAGAAAAGATTTAATTGTTTATGCTTTGCTACTATTTAGTTGGAACATTTAATACGAGTAGTAAACTTTATTAAAACTCAAATAGATACATATTTAAATTTATATCAGTTTTATCAACAATTTTAATATAATAGAATTTAAGCTTAACTTTATGATTGCTTAATAACCTGCTGTACTGTACATTAGGACAATAAATGAAACTCTTATTATGTTTCGAAAATAATTACTGGGGTTAAAGTAGGTAATCATTAAATGATTTTGAGTGTTAAAAAGAAAAAAAATAAGGCGAACAAACAGACTATTTAATTTAATACTCAAATACAATTAAGTTATATTAACAAATACATTGATATCACCTAAACATTTTATACATCAATTAATAATCTTAAAATCCAATTTGTTGGCCATAAAAATTAGCATTCAGATCTAAATTGGCACCGAGGATATAAATTCAAATTTAGTGGCAAAGCTGGTAGTATATAGGGTAAACGTATTCAAAATTTTACCAAAACATAGACTGTGGTACACTGATTAGCTAATAGTCCTCGTTATAGATTAATTTATAATTGTGAGAGAGATATGCTTCAGCGCGAATGGCTGGTTCAGGCTGGCTCGACCAGATTGATGCGGTCTCACAGAAAACCGGCGTGTGATTACCTGATGAAGTTACCTGATTTCCTCATGACGAAATCTTACCCCTAACTTTAACTAACACAAGACCAGCAACATTCGCGCAGCTCTGGTGTTGTGGGTATGCATGCATGCATGCTTACCATCATCGTGTGATTCGTATGTAAACAAACGGTTGACAAGACATAAAGTCATATCTTTATTTGTTTACAAGTCTATTAATTATTTATTATTATATTAACTTATTGGACATTGCGAGTATATTAATATCGAGTCCTAAGATGGAGAAAATGTCGCTGCCTTGTCCTTGATTACCTTGAAATTGATTAATCGTAACATTAGTTAGATTTTCAAATAATTCACTGATATGACATAGATTTAATTGTACAGTATATATGTTTACTCAGTCCGCGGGAAAGAAAATTGAGTTTTGTTACACTTACTAAAAAAATTACACGACATACTTATCCCTTCAAGGACTAATTTAATTTTCAATTCTATTTCTTTTCCATAAATTAACCACAGTTTGAGGAAGTTGTCCGTCAGTATCTACATTTTTACACAGGTAACTGTACGATTGGCTGTCAATAATAATATTCAAAGGTAATTAGGTAAGGTATTAATCACATCCTTATTCTGTGATAATTATTACTAAGTTATTAGCAAACAAGACACTGTTGACGGAAGGTACATTAGCAGCATTAACATCACACCGGTTTTTCCTCCAATGAGTAAATGTGTGTGTTTGAAAACCCGTCTGTGAATTAATTTCTTATAATTAAATAATACATTATGTATAAGCCTATCGCCAGATTCTACGATTAACTATTGAGACTACATATTTTTTATGTCATCGGACGGCAAACGAGCAGATGGATTACCTGATGGTAAGCAATCAGCACTGCCCATGGACACCCGCATCACCAAGGAGACAAGACAAGGAGTTACGAGTGCGTTGCCAGCTTTTTAGGGATAAGGGTTTAAATAAAAAATGAAACACAAAAACAAACACACTGATATAATTTACATAACAGAACATTTTTGAACAAGTCCACAGGTCCCAAAATAAAACATGTGACCTAGAAACCAGAAAAGGGCCAAAAATTCGTATAACCTCGGTCAGGTGTAAACTGGTGCCTGGTGCCTCTGGGAACACAGTCCCACTTCTGGAGGGAAATTTGAATAAACAATGAGACACGTATCCAAATCGAATACCCCACGATTCCCCGTGTAAGCTCGATCTATGAAGGAAATTCAATTTACTTTCAATTCGCCTTGTGAAAAATCTTCCATATTTGTTGTTAAAAGACGCTTGTTATCAGTGGTTGCGTGGTGAAAATGTGATTTGTAAATGATGTTTTGTTATAATAGAATATCTAAGGAAAAGGATGATGGGATAATTTTCGTATTTGCCTGACCCTGTAAGTTAATATCTTAGACCTGTAGATGAGTTGAAATCACAGTCTGTGTTTCTGCCTGGTTTTCAGGGTAAGCGCAATATGGCATCGCGGCCTCGGCCTAATACAGGAGAAGGAACGGGGGGGGGGGGGGGGAGAGAGGGTTAGTCAGTAAGATCTCTCTCGCCTTACCCTGGGCGGGACAGGTCATTTAATGTTTTTTTTTTCTGACTAAAAACGACTGTATTTCTGCAATAACATCACTCATACCCATATCTACTCTTGGTAACATTTCTCAAAAAATCATATCATATAAAACGTCCGCAACACAAGGATAGTACTCTTACATTTATAAATGAATACAATAGTTCATTCTCCAGTTTCATTCAGATAAAAATCTCATACATTTATGGACATAGCGTTGAGATGAAATTATGAGGAAATAGCCAGCATCATACCATACATTTCTCGGCTGTATAAGGCGAGCACGTACGTATTAGGAAGTGCTATACTGCATAGCCGAAAGCTATTGCAATGGGTTACAGGCCACGGCCGGCCAACGGGACCTTGAACTCTAACTGTCATTATAACTTACCAGATTTATAACTTAACTGGTAGCACTTGATTAACTTGATTGATCATCTGTTAGTTAAATTGAATGTGTATAACTACTTCATGTTTTGACAGTTAGAACCTTAGATTAATTGATATTTACGATATGCAAGCATAGCTTCGTATAAGTAACGCCATCTCTCGGAACACTGTCGAACTACAATGATGTTTTAAAACTGGAACTATGAATAGACTCCTGGCATTGGGACTCGGGAGATCAACGGACGTATATTTTTTTACAACCGGCCGCTTGGGAAATCCGCTTATACAGAATTTCGACACAGTTACAGTTAAATAAACAAAAATAATCCAATTTAAAACACAACTACGTGTCTAGTAAAATAAACCTGACAACATATTAACCATAAATCTGAACGGATTTAGTATCCAACTTTATTTGTGTTTTTATTATCTTTTAGACACTAATATTTCATATTACGCAATAACATTTTAATGACGGCTTAAAAGCCACAGTTCCATTTTTGAAAAATATACTATAGACAAGCTCACTTTAGGATTAAATACAGATTAAAAATGTAATCTGACAGCTGATCAGTGAGTTATAATTACACATACATTACTTGGCGATAATGACATTATGTCAGGGAACGCCGTGAATTACCACGTATGCAATTAAAATAACAATAAAGGTCAAATATCGACCTTAGTAATTAAGTCAGTGGTGCACATTGACAAGTTTCATTGTCACGGCAAATATTATGATTGCAATTAATAAAAGTGTAACAGTAATACCAGTATCAGGTGGTATTAACTGATGCCAAGGTCTAATCCTTGGCTGCAACCATAACGCAATAAATTTTGATGATTATTTTTTTTTAACGAACGAGGCAACTGTACTGTATTTATGTTTCCGGTAAAACATTAATAAATGTCGTTGATATTGTGTTAGAACTTAAATAAATCACATCAATGACTTTTGACAAATTCTAATTTCGTACGGTAGTGTTTTGTTTGTTTTCTTTAAAAAAAAACAAATAGATTGTAAATAAAATAACCTTCATTGAAATCGATTTACAAAATAATGAAATGCACAAAGTGATTTAATTTAAAGTTTGAAATAGGAAAAGTAAGTTTTCACAACGAATTTATTAGTGGTCTC